GTGTCACCATTTGATGTACTTGTTCAGTTTACTTTGATCCACCTTTTACCTTGGAAATAAGAAAATAACAGGAATAGAAACCTGCTCCTTTGCTGCTGAGGGATCTCCTCTAAAGCAAGCATTTGGAGAAGGCAGATAATTTCATTCTTTAGTGCTTTCTCCTGATAGGGATAATTGAAAAAGTACTAGGAAGGGAAGGTCGGGGTCTGCAGAGAGTGAATTGGATGGAATAAGCTGCTGAATAACCTCCAGCACTGACTGGTCTGAAGTAATTCCACTCCCTGCTGCCTGAAAAAAAGAATGTAAGTGGTTGGAAATGGAGTGCACTGGCCCTTTAAGCTGTTGAAAAAAATCCGCTGGGCCCAGCAGTATTGCATTCTAGGTTTTTACGCTGAGAACATACCTGGGCAACAAGGAAGGCAGCTAACAAGGAAGAAGAAGTGGTCTCAGGGTTGCAGTGTGCAGTTTGGAAAAAAAATCCAGGCTGCTAACTCTGTTTAGAGCCCGAGGCCACAGTTTTAGAGTGTAGGTGGGTACAAGCTCCGTATTCCTGCAGTAATGAGGACACACTGAACATTGTAGTTTCCTGGCAATGTTGAGAATCATAAAGCAGGATGTCAGCAAGGCATGCTGGGAAGCAGATTTTGTATATTATTAACTTTCTTCGCTCATAATGAGAATTTGACAGACCTGCAGAGATCCAGAAATACTAAGGGTCTCTCGCAGAGACAGGAAAGTAAACTGTCAGTTTAAATTATATTTTTCCTTTCAGGCCAGTGTTGTCCTGGGATAAATTTGGGGGTATGCATGTTTGACTTTGAACTTAGCTATAAAGAAGAGTTTGTGATATGTAAACAAGACTGGGGAAAAAGGCATCTCTGGGAATGGGAATTCTTGGTGTTTGCTTTGGACTTTGCCAAATACCCTCTTAACCAGAATAAGAACTGGGCTGGGCAGTGGAATCTCAGAATATGGCATCACTACTAGCAGCAGTGACAAGGGTGAGCAGCAGCAGTGACAGCATAGCAACAGTGGCAAAGAAATCACTTGTTCACTCTCCTCGGTCCCCCGGGACTAGAGGTGAACCCACTTGAGCAAACCCCTGGACTCAGGTACTTCATTGAACTCAAGCAAACTGTGAGTGGGGTGCAACAGTGGGGAGTGGAATGTTAAAGGGACATTTGTCCACTGAACTTTCACACCACAAGATGGGAAACTGAGGCAAAGTGTTGCCCAAGATGCAATGGGGCAAGTGTTTTACTTATTGTCTGCATACTGCTGAGTCATTGTTTTCCCAGATTAATGCTGGACAACACAGCATTAATACTCCCCTTCATAAAAGTTTTCTTTTGTTATACACAGACTCAATGCTTGTGAGTGGGGAAGTAATGCCTATCACAGGTACCCACAGGTGGTGTTTAGTTTTCCCCGATTTCTGGGTGGGGGCTTGAGCTGGCTTTGTTTAAAAATTGAACTCAGCCCTTCCTGCTACTGACACCACTTGGCAGAAAGGTTACAACATTATCCCCTTAACAAACCAATGGAACATAAGAACAGCCATACTGGGTCAGACCAAAGGTCCATCTAGCCCAGTATTCTGTCTACCGACAGTGGCCAATGCCAGATGCCCCATAGGGAATGAACATAACAGGTAATCATCAAGTGATCCATCCCCTCTCACCCATTCCCAACTTCTGGCCGTTCTTATAGAAGATGGACAGAAAGTTCTTAACCACAGTGAAGCATAGTTAGTCTTGGCAAGAGTCACACAGAGGAATGGGAGTTACCATTGGCCTCCAACAATGTGGACTGCTTTGGCTTCTTCCTGATTTAGATAAGGCCAAAAGTACAGGTACTGTCCCTGAGTCTCCAGGTTCACATTCATCGCTAATCTGGTGTTTCCTTTCTTGGAGTAAGATTACATCATTTTGAATTCTACCAAGTAAGTAGCCTGAGTTCACTGTTCAGGTGGTATGGCAAAAAATAACCCTGTTTTCCAACCTTGCTGAGGTTAGGAGAGAGTTTTGTTTCCTCCCACAGAAGAAAAAAATCAATCTGACAAGCAAGGGTGGATAGGGATTCGTCCAGTGGATAGCCCAGTTTACCGGCACAAAAGCTAGCCCATAGTAGTCATCAGTACTCAAGAGCATGTCCTGGGATCACATATGTCCCTGGAAAGTGGTTTAAATATTGGAAGAGATGACTATGGTAACCCCCTTTCCAAATGTTATGAGGATACCCTAATGCTTCTAATGGGATGAGCAAATGTGTCCCACATACTATTGAATAAAGCTGTAGTTTTCCTGCCATTCTAAATGAAACCTATGTGTCCATTGACATTTGTAATCATCTTTTGACAAACTAAGCTATATAAATGTACATCCAAAATAGATAGTTCCATAATTAAATTCAGAGATGAAATATTATACTTTTTCTGCTTCTGATTTACATTTTCTCTTACACTATTAAATCTTTTAGCTTAGTCTAGTGCTACAATTTCTAGTCTGTGCTACAATTTCATTTCTTTACAACACTGACAAAAGGCAGCCACCCTCTTATCACTAACGTTTCAACTAATAATGAAATTGTGTTTCCTGTTAATTTTCTAAGAAATGGCTTTAATGACTTTGCCAAGAATGGCTTATAACATCAGCAGTGGGAAAAAATCTCACCAAAATTAATCTTCCTAAAGATTCAGAAGGTTGAATTTGCACTGAAGGTTGAAATGGAACTTTGACCTTTGTAGCTTTTATTTGAAGGAAGCCTATGGGCATGTTAAATATCTGCCAGCCTCTTATATCGTATTGTATCCAATAACTTCTTTTACAATTTTCAGATAAGTAAGGGAGAAAGTAAGGGGTTATTTGAAATGTAGCAATAATATGAAATGAAGCATCTAACCTGCTAAATGCTGAAGACAGAAATATGAAAGAGTTATTCCACGGTTTTATAGCTAATGACTTGTTTGGAAACTGGAAATTTCAATTAATATTGAACCACACAATCAGTGCTCTCCCTTGCAAATCTAATAAATATTTCTGATTTGAATATTTGTCTTACATCAGTAACCGCATAAAAGTTAAGAACAAACTTGTTCAGTGGCACGGGGTAATAATTTTGATTAGAGAATGTCACAAACTGAAAAATCTGAACACAGATCCAGATTCGGAACTCACTAAAATCTATGGTGTTTGGAACCAGAGTTCTATTTAGGGCCTCATTTCTAATTACCATTTTTCCTATAATCCTTTTCTTACTACGGTGTCACTATTCCCTGATCTTGACAAATAAGAAATATTACATATTTAGGCAACAAAATCTATCTGATAAATCATTCCAGAAATAAGAAGGAAATCATGCGTGAAATGAAGGTTAGAGTTTTCAAAACCACATCATTTAACCAGCAGACTGCTAATCAATGTATAGCATTTTTCATGAGGAAAGAACAATGTGATGCAGTCATATTTATTGTCTATCTGATGATTTTGCCAAACGTATCATATTCTATTCAACTTTATGACTCCAGGAAAAAGAAAGTGATCTCCTGAATGGGATGGCTCTGTTTAAGCTGCAATGCAAAGTCACAGTATCTCAAGTAGATAAGTCAACCAACTTGTCTTCTAAGTTAGATCTAGAAATATTCTAACTTTGGTGCCTAAAGTTAGGTACCAAAATCCATATTTAGGCACCCAAGTTTGACTGCTTTGGCCTCAGTCCATGCAACAGTATCTTCATATTCATCATACAGTGCTATACAACAACTGGGAAAAATGTAGTCCCATTGGTGGCTATTAAAAGTTTTATTGCTTTATATATTTTATCCCTTGATGACAGAGCTATTAAAGCTTCTAAACACGAGATGAAAATGTGTATACATGTGGTGAGGGAAGTAACAATGACTATTTGTATTTTAGGAGTTGCTTACAATATCTCATTAAGCTGTGTTGTATAAAATGTTACATTGAAGATAAAATAACACACAATGCTCTTGGTAGCACTATATGCCAATGATATTGAAAGACAACAATTGCTTTCTGCTCAAAAGCTCCTACTGCTCTTCTGTATAGTAAATATGTCAACAATCAATTTAAGTAGGCTTGTATCATTTTTTGTTTGGGTTATATTTTTACTTTCTATGAATGTGGCATCTCATTTCAGCAATATGAGGATAGGGCAGTATCACTGAATATGATGGAATATATTTGGGAATGTAAAAATAGATTTGGATAACTTCACAAATGTTATAATGGATTCAGTTTAGTTTTCTAACTTATCTGTACAATCTTTGCTCACCTTTCTCTATAAATGACAGTTAAAAATAATAAAATAATAAAATTAATCTCTTTGTTGAGTAACTTAAAAGAGAAAAAAGTAACTCTAAAGGTCTGAAAGAATCCTAAAAATGAGTGGAATAATAATGATTACTGATGAGTAACAGTGAAGATACGTGAAATAAGCCACAGTATATGCTCATCTGTCATATCCTTTCCAAAGTTAAGTAAGTTACACCCTGCCCTACCCCTAAGAGTTTGGACCAAATATTTAAACCCCATCTTCCCTTTTTGCACCTGCAATTTAAGGGCCCAACTGATTGTGAATGTGACTGATCTCTTTTAGATGTTTACTTCAAGATATGCAGGTACAATCAATTATTTAAATATCTAAATAACACAATTTTTTTGCCTGCAATTATTTGCACTTGCAAAACTGTGCAGGTGAACAATGCAGGTGAAGTTAAGTCTAGGCTGAAATTCAGGCCCATTGTATTCCAGGCCCACTTACAAGTTCTAATGAAAATGAAATTATTCATAACTACACATTCAGACATGCAGGCACAAGTACAATATTAAAGGAAGGCCTGATTCTCAATGTACTATATCAATATAAAAGACAATATCAATTATGATAATTACACAGGAAAAACAGGCTTTCAGTCTCATGCACCATTTTCCATCCTGATTATCTTTACATGTGAAAGAGGCCAGCATAGATTTTCTTACCTGTTGTTGACCTGATAGTTGAGGTGATGTTGGAAGATCCCATAGCAGGGATACATTCATCATCTTGGGAGTAACCTGCCTGAATGGCCCGCAGGTAACTGTGGCTTCTTGTTCGGAAGCATCCAGGGAGGTCAAGGGCATCCATTGCCTGAGCTTCAACTTCGCTAAACACTGATTCACACACCGACTCAAATTGCCCATTGACCTCTGCTTCACTCATCTGAATAAATAACAACAATGCATTTGATTTTTGACTTGCTTTGTTTGTGATCATCACGGCTTCAACATCTCTCAAGTGGACACCTGTGCGTTGATGAAGAACTGTTTAGCAAATAATTAAAGATTAGGAAACCCTTCTGAACACGTTCACATTTTAGCACTTTACATTAGCCATATACAGTATGTACCATGCAATAAGTTTTAGATGACCATCGTTAGTTTCCATTTGGTATATTTATTTTTAATAAGTATGAAGAACACTAATAGATAAATCCAACATCTCTATACACTGATTAGGAAATCTATCCACTATCACAACTGGAGAGTCAAGACCCATTCAATACCATTTAATTGTATCTGGTCTTCTAACTGAGACATTGAATCAAACTAGTCTGAATTTTCAGACTCTGAGTTATATTTACCCTAGCCTGCAAGCATAGTGGAGAAGTGGGCTGAGTAGTGCCTTCTGTGCACAACTCAACAAATTTACTGGCCACATAGGTGTGAGTGTACAGTGCCCTTTAAAGGGGATGTTGCAGATTGTTCTTTTCCCCTTGCTATGAGGGAGCTCCAGGAGGTATCTATGTTACCCAGTGCCACGATTTAAGCCCAAAGTGTGCTGACAGAAAAAAAGAATCACTTGCATTGCAACAGAACAGATGCGTCTGCAGCTGTATGAGTTGCCCTCGATTGGGATGGTGAAGTGTCTATATGTGATTGAGAGCTAACACCACACTCTGGAGCTTTTTTATTAAAAATTGTCAACAAAAATCAGTACTTGGTCCATGAGTAATTGAACATGGGTGAGGCCTTATTTTTTTTCTTTAGAGACAGGATTAGAGAGATAAATGGACCAGCAGGCTGGAAACAGAATGTCTGTATTTAGCTAGGGGACACCAAGGAAACCATTTACAATGGACAAGATAACAATGGATAAGATAAGTTGGGAACATAAAGATGAGGTAAACAGTAAGCTGTACATGGACAGTGCATGGGGTAGGGTTGGTTTCTATAAAGTAAACCCCAAACACATGATGGAATGTCTAGTGAATGTAATGTGATGTGTAAATGTATATAAAGGAAGGGGGGTTTTGTGTGACTTTGGATGTGTGGTATCCCCCATACCCACCCCTTACGGTTGAGTCAGATCAACTCAGCATAGCTTTGATGCATGCCAAATAAAGGAACCAAACTGGCAAGACTGAGTCGGACTGAATTTGTGGGGAACCAAGTAGAAGATGCCTCAGAGGAACCCTAACATAGTGGCGCCGTGACTTGGATCTGCTCGTCTGGAGCTGGTAACATATATACCCTTAGTATGAGGGTCGTGACCTAGGATTAAGAGAAATGGCATTGGTAGGGTTTAAGGGTTTAAATATGAGGTAGTTAGCATCATGCTGAAGAAGTGGATTAAATCTAAGGGAGGACCCTATAGACTCCCCAGAGAAAGATTAGAGGGAGACTGGATCCAGGTGAAAAAGGAACTCCAGGGAGTGGTATTCAATTTTTAAAAAAAAAGAATGTTTGGCAGAGCACAGCAGAGGTCTATTGAATGTCACTGACATTTTCAAAAAACAGGACCCATTGACAGCCATAAAAATAGTATCTAGTTTGTTTGTTTTTATACTAATGCAAAGAAAGCCCAGATGAAAGCAGCAGCTTTACAAGGATTATTTATAGTGGCTAAAATGTTACAAACAAAATGTACTACTTTGAAAAATGAATGCTAAAAGCATAAAAAGCAAATCAAAGTTGTAAGAGGAGGAAACAAACTAAATGGAAAAGATTCCTAAAATGTTAAAAAAGAAAATCCAAAGTAAAAGGCAGCCACCCTTGAAGGACTGAATTTAGAGAGTATAGCTGTGCAGGCAAAGTGTACTAAGTTGAGAGATAGGAGCAAAAATCATAAAAAATAAGCTTAGACTGCGGAGGAAGAGTCAGCTAAGAAATGTGTTATTCTAGGAAATAAAATAGAAGCGTTACGGTCCCAGACTTTAGTAGCTAGTAAGGTCTAGGGAAATGTCTTATTAAACAGTGAAAAACTGAAATGAGTACTTTAAAAAAAGTACAAGCAGCTAAATTTTTGCACAAATTAACACTGGAGATCTTGGAGGGGACTAAATAGTCAGGGGCAGTAAAAGTAATAAAGTGTTAAAAAGGACTTTATTACTTTTACTAGCCCTAACTATTTAGTGTTTAGTGTATAAAATGTTAAAAAGGACTTTAAAGTGTTAAGAAAAAGAAAGAAAAAAAAGAATGCTTGGTTTAATAATGAAACCCAGTTATGGCAATATAACTCAGTGCAGTCATGCCTAGTGAAATTCTTAGTAATCAAATTATGCAAAGGAAGGTCAAGTGGTGACAACTATCACCACTATGCTTTTCTCTCCAACATGACTTTACAGCCACTCTAAAAAAAGGGAGGAGGGGCATTTTGTGTCTGTAATAAATTAATTATGCTGGCTGCTGCAGATATAGGGACAATCTGATTTAAATTGTCTGACTATGGATGAGTTAGTTAAAATCACTGAAGGAATTAGGGATTTCTGTATGGCTTAACTGCTTCTGAATGTAGTAGTGGAAATGCAACCTGGGTACAGCAAAGTAGTGGAAATATAACCTGTGTAAAAAAATAATTAAAAGCAATGCAAGGGGCATAGATCAGATCAAACAGCAAATTGTGAAAAAAACGTTTTAAAAAAACTTCTTGTAAAAAAAAAGTGAAGTGTAACAGTCCACTTACTAAACTCTCAAATAGCTAAAAAACAAAAAACAAAACAAAACAAAACAAAAGGAAATAACACCAGTAAAACAAAATGTTGCTAAAATACAGCGGTGTTTGGATTTTAGCTGTTTGAGATTTTAGTAAGTTTATGTTACACTCTATATAGTATACATATTTCTGTAATTGCTTTTAAAGAAGTATGGCATTAAGTCAATGTCTTCTAATAATAATATCTTGTGCAATATGTGAGGGATACATGCTATACAAAATAAAAGCAGCCTCAAGTGATATGGATCAAGAAAACTTGCGCTCTTTTATCACCACAGAAAAGTTAAAAATTTGGCACAAGACAGGTAACACCAGAAGGGTATGAAAATTAATCAGGGTCCAATACCACGAAGTTAAATGTAAAACCACTGTGACTCATACAGTGTGGAAAAAGTTTGTTTTCCCTCCTCTAATACTGTGGAAAGACCATGCAAGGTCTGGAAAGCCCCAGACTTGTCCTGCTGTTGGCATCTAGGGGACACTTACGGGTGCAGGTGTACTGGTTTACAGACAGAGTTGCCAGCATGTGAGTTCATTCTTGGGGGACAGTCTCCAAATTTCACAGTACAGTTGAGATGCTGGGACATTGGTGAAGTAAAAACTGCTCATGCAGGTAATAACAATTATTGTGTGGTGGCTGAAGAAGACCACTTCCAGTACAGACCCAGGGAATGTTATTTTAATTGGCCTATGTTCTGTTTCACATCTAAATTTCCTGTATTAATAAATGAAAAAGTACCAGTTTTTATAATGTAATTAAAATAAAAGCAAAGTTAAAATTACAGAAGGAGGCTTTAAAGGCAGAACAAGCCTATAATGTCATGGTAGGATAGACCACCAAACTAGGAAGAAGAAGTGGATGAGGCTTTTTAAAACAACTAACAACATAATCCAAAATACACAACTTGGTGGTGATGGGGAACTTCAACTACCCAGATATTCATTGGGAAAATAATACAGCAAGGCAGATTATCCAGCAAGTTCTTGGAATGCATTGGAGACTATTTTTTCTTTCAGAAGGTAGAGAAAGCAACTAGGAGATAGACTGTTCTAGATTTGATTTTGACAAATAGGGAGGAACTGGTTGAGAATTTGAAAGTGGAAGGCAGCTTGGGTGAACGTGATCATGAAATGATAGAGTTCATGATTCTAAGGAATGGTAGGAGGGAAAACAGCAGAATAAAGATGATGGATATCAAGAAGGCAGACTTTAGCAAATTCAGGGAGTTCAAGAGAGTTGGCAGTTTTTGAAAGTGATATTATTTAGGGCACAAGAACAAACTATCCCACTATGTAAGAAAGATAAGAAGTATGGCAAGAAACCACCCTGGCTTAGCCAGGAGATCTTCAGTGATCTGAAACTCAAAAAAGAGTCCTACAAAAAGTGGAAACTGGGTCAAATTACAAAGGATGAATATAAAAAACAACAACACAAGCATGTAGGGACAAAATTAGAAAGGCCAAGGCACAAAATGAGATTAAACTAGCTAGAGACATAAAGGGAAACAAGAAAACATCCTACAAATACATTAAAAGCAAGAAGAAAACAAAGGACAGGGTAGGCCCATTACTCAATGAGGGAGAAAGACAATAATAGAAAATGTGGAAATACCAAAAGGGTTAATAGCAATTGGACATCTAACGAAGTGAATGCCAGTGAAAATGAGGTAGTATCTGAGGCTAAAATAAGAAAAGAACAAGTTAAAAGTTACTTAGACAAGTTAGATGTCTTCAAGTTGGCAGGCCTGATGCAATACATTCTAAAATTCTCAAAGATCTGACTGAAGAGATATCTGAGCAATTAGTGATTATTTTTGAAAACTCATGGAAGATGGGAGAGATTCCAGAGGACTAGAAGAGGGCAAATATAGTGCCAACCTATACAAATGGGAATAAGGACAACTTGGAGAATTACAGGCCAGTCAGCTTCACTTCAGTACCTGAAAAGATAATGGAGCAAATAATCAAGCAATCAATTTGCATACACCGAAAAGATAATAAGATGATAAGTAACTGTCAAGAACAAATCATGTCAAACCAACCTAATAGCTTTCTTTGATAGGTGGATGGGGGGAAGTGGTAGATGTGGTATACCTTTACTTTAGTAAGGCTTTTGATACTGTCTTGCATGACCTTCTCATAAACAAACTACGGAAATATAGCCTAGCTGGAGCTATCTAAAGTTGAGTGCATAGCTGGTTGGAAAAACCATTCCCACAGAGTAGTTATCAATGGTTCACAGTCAAGCTGGCAGGGCAGAACGAGTGGGGTTGTTTTAAGGCGGAGGGTGAAAAATGGTTCTCCTTAACTTCTGAGGATAGAACAAGAAGCAATGGGCTTAAATTGAAGCAAGGGACGATTAGGTTGGACATTAGGAAAAACTTCCTAACTGTGTGAGTAGTTAAGCACTGGAACAAATTGCCTAGGGAGGTTGTGGAATCTCTGTCATTGGAGGGTTTTAAGAACAGGTTAGACAAACACTTGTCAGGAATGGTCTAATTATTACTTAGTCCTACCTTGAGTGCAAGGGACTGGACTAGATGACCTATTGAGGTAGCTTCCAGTCCTACATTTCTAGGATTCTATGTAGAATTTACACTCCAGTGGGCTATACCAAAGGAGGTAAGGTTGCACACTCCGGTTCGTACACTGAGCCTATTATTAATGTTGATTCAAATAATTATAACTACTGTTGTCTTGGAAATGTGTTGATGGGTAATGAACTTAAAAAAGAAAGCATAGAAAACAGAAATAGAATGCAAATAAAACATATGATAATATAGGAAAGTAGTGGAATGTTGGCCCGGCTTGACATGAATAACTGGATATGGGTGAGATCTTATTTCTTGAGAGACAGGATTAAGGAGGTAAATGGATCAGCAGGCTGGAAATGGAATATTTGCATTAACTAAGATGGGTAAATGGGTCAGTAAGCTAAGAAACAGAATGTCTATACTAGCTAAGATAAGGGACAACACCCAGGAAACCACTTACAATGGACAAGATAACAATGGATAAGATAAATTGGGAACATGAGGATGAGGAAAAGAGTAAGTTGTACATGGACAGTGAGTGGACAGAGCATGATGTACAGGCAGTGGTTTCTACAAAGCAATGCCAAAACGAGTGATGCAATGTAAAGTGAATGTATGTATATAAAGAAATGGGGTTTCTGTGTACCATAGGTATGCCCTATGCCCATCCCTTATGGTTCAGTCTGATTAACTCAGCGTAGGTTTGCTGTATGCCAGATAAAGGAGCTTAAGTGATGAAACTGGAGTTGCACTGAATTCTTAGGGAAGAGATCTTGGGGAAACCCCAACAAAAATAATCTACTCTGTACTGAGGGAAACTATATAAATACCATGTGTCATAGCCATAAATGGTGTTAACTGGTGTTGCTCCATTAAATATAATGGAATTATGCTGATTTAAATCAGCTGAGCATCAGTCCCTACATCCTGATTTCATTTTTAAACACTCTTTCTAGCCCTATTGATGTCATATTTTTATTATTATTATTTTTATTTAGCCAATCACAATATGGACTGAAATATATTAATGTCAAGTGCTTGGTGTTAAAAAAGAGCTTAATTTTACTATGTCCATTTACTCTGGACAATTGTTAGTGTCACCATGAATTCGTATGTTTCATTTTAGAGACATTTTGGGATAATTATTGGGAATGTACTAAGTATCTAATTGTAGCATTTGGCTGAGTAATTGGAAACGATATTTGTCCAAAGAGAATTTAGAAGCTGAATAATGGAGAGAGCAGTAAATGACAATAATATGTATTTTATTTAATCATTTATTAAAGCAGAATGAAAGCAACAAAATAATATAAATATCTAGTCAATCTCATAACCTCACCAGCCTCCACATCTGGATGATATTGCTTTTTATTATATATTGTAATCAATAATTCTTATTCATTTTGGGGAAAAAATCACTGCAAATTTTCCAGTTTTCATTAATCAAGCGTATAGAAATTTCATACAGAATCTCTGAACCCAATGAAAGGCTGTTATTCTAATTTTCTAGAAAGGCATCTTGGCAATTAAGTTCACTGTGAAATGAATTATTTTGTCCTTCATAAAATTATCATTTTTATATTTCTAATAAAATTAAGTGGACTAATGAAGTCTGGGAAGGGAAAAAACCTTATCCTGAATCATCTTTTGCTTATACTATTGACTAAGAGAGTTATGATAACTTAGGCCAAGATTTTCAAAAGTTACGAGTAATTTTTGGAGCCTCCCAATTTGAGACACTTTAACAGTGCTTAATTCAAAGGATTAACATTCATCACTTTGTGAAAATCAGGGACCTTAAAGGCATCTCAGGTTGGGCACCCACAAATGGAGGCACCCAGAATCACCTGTCACATTTGAAAACCTTGGCCTCAGTCAATAATTACATGATCAAATTCCTTACTACTTTTTTCAAACAAAGCTTGTTGACACCAGCAAAATAATAATTTTAAAATACAGATTGCAAGAGTGAATATATACTTCTTAAATATATAGTCCATCAGTATCCCTCAATTCAGTCCTGAGCAGTAGAAGGTGGGAATGGAACCCATTGAAATAACAGAAATAAAAATACTGAACTGCTATCATATTGCTGGAACATGAAGAGTGTGATGTCATAGGAAGGGACTAGGAAACAGCAAAGGCTCAGAACTTGTTAACTGAATGTATTTAGTTTATATTCTGTGTTATTTAAAATATATGTTACTGAGCTGGAAAAGGTTGAACAGTGAAGTGGCAAAATATGTAGATGGCACAAAATTATTTAGGTTGGTCAAGACTGAAGGACATAGTGAGGAACTTCAGTAGGATCTAATTAAGCAAGCTAATTGAGCAAAGAATGGCAAATGAAATTCATTGTGGACAATGGCAAGGTTGTGCATACTGAAAGAATCTGAATCATCATATACACTACTTTAATGAGTTAGGAAAAGGTCCTAGTCATCATTATGGACAGCTCAATGAAAAACACTTTCTCCATGCATACTGATGGTCAAATAAGGCAAAGGATGTTAATTTATATGAAGGAAGAAACAGAGAATAATACTTAACATAATATCATTATATAAAGTGATGGTACACCTCACTGAATTCTGGTCATCCCATCTCGACAAGTATGTAGCAGATATAGTAAATGTCAGACAGGGGCAATGAAATTTTTTAAAAGCCTGGACAGACTTCCACATGAAGGGACATTGAAAAGGTTAGATCTGTTTAATTTAGAGAGGTATGAAGATGAAAAGGTGACATGAGAGAGGTATACATAATAATGAATGGTCTAGAGAATGGCTGCTGAGCGTTCCTATTCATGCCCTATTACCGTACAAGACAAAGTGGGAACCCAATGAAACTAAAAGGCAACATTGTATATATTTATATTTAGGGTGGCTTTCTTAAAAGGGAAATTCTGATTTTGCAGTTTTTTGGCATAATTTGCAATTTGACTGCCTCTTTTTAATCATACCACCTTCATTCAATATTAAATTACTTGAAGCTTGAATTACTTTGTGACTACTTACATCCTCACTCCTCTAATATTAATCAAGAAAAACAAATTTTCCATTTTTAGTAGCTAGTCCTGTATATGTAGATAGCCCACAGTAAAAGATTTAACAATAGATTCCCACCTGACTAACACAGCTGGCCTGACTGAGTGTGCTCACTGCTCTCATATAGCTCTGATTCCTTGATCGGAACTTTGGGGAATTGTAGTTTGCAGAGGGATCCATGTTGTGGCCCCCAGGCACATCACTTGCAGCTTGAAGGTAGCTCTGACTATAAAAGAAAGAGGGGAAAAAAGAGGAGGCTATAAAAAAAAACTCCAGATGGAATCAGTTATGACACTGAAAACAGCAATTTGTATTAGCATCATAAATGCACTCCCTGGGGCCAAATTCTTGATCCACATGAAGAGGCACAGTGCTACTGAAGTCAGGAGAGCTGCATCATTTAATATAAGCAGAGAATTTGGTCTTAAGTTCACTACCAAAATGATTTGAAGCATTCAGCATTTTTACTGTAAATGAATATCACTAATATTCCCCTGGCTACAAATGTTACATTTTACTAAAATAAAATGTGAACATCAATATGAAGAACAACTACTGCAGGAATGGAAATGTTTCTACAAGGATAAAAATCACTCTTCTCTGTCATTCTTTTTGCATCAAGGTGCTGGATTTCAAGATGCCTGATAGGTTAAAAATATCAATACATTTACAGAAGATCAGCTAAAGAATGTGATTTGTAATGGCACACAGCACAACTGCATAAATCTCCTGAACTGGTCTTTTTACAATTCACCGCTCAAGTTACTTTTCCCTGAGTGTACTGCAGAACTAGGGTGACCAGACAGCAAGTGTGAAAAATCGGGATGGGGGTGGGGGGTAATAGGATCCTATATAAGAAAAAGCCCCAAATATCAGGACTGTCCCTATAAAATCGGGACATCTGGTCACCCTATGCAGAACCTACGCCACCAACATCATCTCCTGTCCCAGAAGATGGTCTTGTTTAAAGAGACACTGGCCATGTCTTCCCTGCCAACAAAGGTTTTCTTTTTTCTTTAAACACGATAACTAACCCGCAGTAACTCTCAGCGAAGCAAGGTCTGCACTATATCCCCAGCTGCAGTTGACCTCCCCGGGCTACATCACATTAAAAACTACAGAGCCTTGTCTCCGGTAGGATTTTACAGCAAGATATTGCATGTCATTATCTCACTGTAAAGTCCCACCTTTTTAGGCAGTGAAGACTTGTCAACTTCAGTTAAAAGCAGCTGCCCTCAATTCTCCCCTTGCCAATGTTTGCAGTTTTACTATATAGGCCTGGTCTGCTATGCCCATTGCTGTAACTGTCTTTTATGGACTAGGAAGGAACTTTCTCTTCACTGCCAGATTGATCAGGATGGGTTTTTTGCCTTTCCCACAGCAGCTCACAGACCCACTGGGTAGGTCAGGAGGTTAAGGTTCAAGTTGTCGCAACTTAACAGGTGTCAGGTGTCCAGGTACTTGTTCTGTAGTGGGTCCGGTTCCGTGATACCTGGCATTGGAAGTGGACTTCAGGAAAGCATCACCTAAGGAAGCTGAAGAATGGGGTTGGAGCTCCCAATGTATTGTACAGCAAGGGGATAACACCCTTTCCTCAGCCCCTTAACCCTCAGATGGGAGGAAGGCCGTGGGATCCCAGCAATGGGCTGGGATGAGCTGTGGAGGGCTTAGGGTCTGACTGCAGCCCTCCACAAGGTGGACATGATTAAGAAAGGAATCATGCCCTGCACTGTACAAGTTGTAGTTCCTAGATAGTTTAATACATTTGCTGCCCACTTAAACCACATCCCTCACATCTTGTCTTTCCTTCCATGTGTCTGGGACAAAGATGCTCATTGCTCCCTCTCCCTTACACCTCATGCACTAGCACGGGCAAGAAAGCAACCTGCACTTGCATCCCAGGACTTGGACTAGATCTCTGCATATTCACAGGGTGCAGGAAAAAGAGCAGTGAGCCTCCGCACCCATTTACAGCATGCTCAAGCACAATGCACAATCTAAGTACACTAGGAGCAGGGAACTCTAACGCCAACAAGATATGTCAACACTAGACTTTCTTTTATCTTGAGTTAATTGTCAATTAATTTGAGGTAGTTAGCGCATTGGTAAGTGCCAGTATGAACACTCCACAAACATTTGTTGCAAACTACAAAAGTTTATTCTTTGCCCAGGCGAAGTAAAGTTCTTTGTCCTAAGTTAGCAGAATCTTATCATTATTATTATTATTATTATTATTTGTATTATAGCAGCATCTAGGAGCCCCAATCATGGACCAAGACTGAACTGTACTGTATAAACAAGAACACAAAGATGGAATGCTAGTTTTGTTCTTTACCCAAGGCTGATGGGCAATTAATTCATTTGAGGGTTAAAAAAAATACCCTAGTACCAACAAACCCCAACAGTGTTAGGAAACTCAAAATGGGCTGCAATATGGTCCTTTTCATAGAATATCAGGGTTGGAAGGGACCTCAGGAGGTCATCTAGTCCAACCCCCTGCTCAAAGCAGGACCAATCCCGTGACAGATTTTTGTCCCAGATCCCTAAAACGCCCCCTCAAGGATTGAACTCTCAACCCTGGGTTTAGCAGGCCAATGCGTAAACCACTGAGCTATCCCCCCTCCCTTTCCCCCTATGTTGGTATGGCATTGGAACAGCACATACTGCACTCTATTAAAATGTATAGCATGTAGCAGCAGCTGCTCTGTGCTCTGACCCAACACTGCTGGAGGCACGGTCTGCCCCAGTACCCAACATACTGTATTTGTACCACTGTACTTCCTCACCACCCCATTGTAGGCAGTGGGTTAAAGTCAAAGATTGCCTTTTTGCCAAAGAAAAATCACTTTTCTGATCTCAGTGTCTGCTTCTCAGCAGGCTGCTGAATGGTCTACATAGCTTATTGCAAATAGTGTTAAAATAAATTAAAATAAAAATCATTTTTTTAAATAAAATGAAATAAGCGTCAAAGATTGGTTTCTAATTTGTCCTCACTGGAAATGTATTGGTAGCTATGGGATTCAATTAATAAACTTTTTATGTAATTTTCCTGCTGATTGGAATGTGGAATAAGATTGACCAAAATTATGTATGGACTAAAATTGTGCAAGTTGTTCCCCTTTATGTTTAAAAAAATCCCACATACTTCCCATGCAGCTTCTTCAGTTTCAACTTTGCATCATTGGGACATGACAGTATAACATTTTCTACATATATGTTCAGCTACAAGACATCACAGAGACTTTCCTAAAGAAGCAAAACAAGGACACCCCAAATAAATATGTCTGACATAAAAATAGACATTTCAAAAGAATATACGGACTTAGACTTGTTCTTTGCTTCAAGGCAAAAATAACACACAGATCAAAGTATGTCATAAGAGGTCACTGATTTTGTGGACCTAACTTGAAACACATAAAATAAGAATAATGGTCCTTATTTGTAAGCACCTAGGCAGATACTTATGTTTGGGACAACGCCCATACTTAAGCTAAACGCATGCTTGAGTACTTTGTTGAATCAGGGCTTTAGAGATCTACTGATGAAAAGTGGTAATATCCAGTTTTTATTAAAACCTCCTGGATCTTTCAAAATGGAGCTGGATATTTTTAGTTGAGTAAATTGCCTCAAAGTGGGCACCCAAATATGAAGGCACACAGAGCCAAACATTCATTTGGCATAAGGTTAAAATATGACAGACAAATTTTCAAAAGTGGCTGTTGTTTCTGGATGTCTTAATTTTGGATGCCCGACGTCAGGTGTCTCAAATTGAACACCCAAATTCCGTGTCCACTTTTGAAAATTTGGCCTTATGTCAGAAGGAGAATGGAGGCCAAAACACCACTGCCAGCCCCATTTGAGTTTCCTAGCACTATTGTGGTTTGTCTGCACTAGTTCTCATGCTTCAAGTTAACTGACTGCAAATCAGCCTAGAATAAAGAGCAAGTGGTTACATAGGAAAAAGACTTTACTCTACGTACAGGAAAGAATAAATAGTTGTGAACGAAATTTGATTTCAGTGACAACTGTGAGTTCACAGCACCTCTGAAAATCAGGCAGCCGGTGTCTCAAGTTGGGCACTATGGAATAGCAATGCACAAAATTAGTGAACTCTTCTGAAAATGAGACCTTCAATCTATAAAATACTTATTTCTTATACATACTGAACAGTCATTTTTTAAAGAAAAGTTTTGCAACTTTTTTCTTCTGTTAGAAACAAACTTATGCCAATTAAACACTCAGACACCAGTATTATTTAAGGCATTATTTCGGAGACAGACCTTGTACCCTGCCCTGTGCAGTACTAGATATACAACTGGGCAGGTCTTACTAAAGGGCACTCAGCATCTGCCAAAAGTTGCTGATGTCACTGCAAGACTGGGTCCCTTGTTATCTCAGTGAAATCATGTTGGAACTGATGCTAATATTGCTAAAACAAAATGAAACCACACAAAATTGACCCAGTATAAGCTCAAAAGCTTGTCTCTTTCACCTACAAAAATTGGTCAAATAATAGATATTACCTCACCTATCTTGTCTCAAATATCCTGGGACCAACACAGGTACAACACTACTGCATGCACTATCCATGCTTTCCTTTTAGTGTGTCATCATCATTGTTCTCTCTGAACATGGCTCCTATAAAACGGTTTAGTGTTATTAATGTAGGCTATTTTCCAAAAATGGGTGAAAAACATTTTGGACCCTCTGCTTGCTATCAGGTGTTACCAAATCCTGGATTCTCAGACCAGAAACAATCTGAAAAACAGAAAGACTTTGGGCTTCTTCACTGAGATTTGGGTTTTTCCAGGAGTTGAATCACAGAGGCAACATAAAAAAAAAGTGACAATAGAAATAAGACACGTTGTATTATAAAGTGCCAAAAAATCAATTATCAGCAACAGTTAATAACTGTCTTCTTTCTTTGCCACACCATGTAATGGTCTAACAATCTAGTAATTAATTATGGAGATACTCAGTTTCTCAGGAAGTACTGTTATCCTAAACCATAATTGACAATTTAAACAGCAATAATTTACTAAGGGAAAAAAACAGAGTACTGTAGCACCCTAAGCAGCTGAGTTTTGATGGATGAGGGATTGGATACTTCCTGGTAGTTAAGTAATTTTTCATTTATCAGCGCGCAGTAATTTATTCAAAGGTCTATAGCAGAGTAAAAGAAATATTACATACATTAGACACCCATTTAATTAATATTTTGAACTT